TTCGCGTACCCCAGTCTGTGTAAAATGATACAACGTTCATCGACGACGAAAACATTGGTCTTAGCTTGCGTAACACCTTTCGATTCGGGTGTGTGGTTTGCTTCATTGAAGGCGGCAACGCGGTCGACACCGTCAACTCCGCTCAAACTGGTCTATTGACTGCCGACTTGAAGAAAAGCATGGCGCGGCGAGTCCTGCGCGCATCTTATTATCGCTCTCCACCGAGTCACGTGGGAATAGAAGGCAACGAGGAGACCGACAAGCTCGCTGCATCCTCGAGTTACCTTCCTCAATCTCACGCAGGCCTACCCTACGAGGACATCGAGCCTTTAATCAAATCGTCACTCTTTCGGTCATGGCAGGCAGAATGGGCCGTGGAGTGCAATAATGAGCTCCACGTGACCAAGCCGTCCTTGGATCCTGGGAGAGCCCTTCATTTAAAGACCGACGACCAGTTCGCGTTTCCCACTTTTCTCTCTCTTCCTCCTCTCCCTAATGCTACACTATCCACCGTTGCCCGTTTCCTCCTCGTCCATGTTGAGGAAGATCTTCTGCCTTGCAGAATCTCGAGTCTGGTTGTTGGCCTTTAAGGACAGATTTTATGAAATGTTGATGTGTCGCCTTCAAATTGAATGTTCTTACGTCACTCACAAATATCTGCAGTGCGGGTGGTGACTCACTTAGCATTCCGCGTGTTTTGAGGCTCGGTTCAGAACTCAAAACAGAATGTCGTACTTATTTTCCGGAATTCTTTCCGTACCACACTCAAGTTCATCCTGTTCTCTTGGAGGCCCATCCTCATGTCCCCTCTGAAGGGGTCCTGGCTTTTATTACTAGCATTGGTCTTATACGCCAGATGTAGTTTTACCTGTTTTTTTAAAGTTGCTGTTTGGTAGCATTGCGACCATATATCAGCTTGATTGTCTCGCTCAGTTTGGCACAATATGGCCTCCGTTGCTTTCGTGCCATAAAGCCAGCAAACTTTGGCCAATGAGAATGCCGCCTTCGCCAATAAGAACCCCGAAGAACAAATCGCTAAGCAAGGAGCTGGAAGATCAAAAGCCACGCCTCGCGTTAGCTGTTTATTTCAAAAACTTTCACTTCTGTTTTTTTTTTTTTTTTTTAGAATTGCTTTTATCTTGCTATTCTTTTTTTTTTTTTACCTTTCAGTAGTTTTGTGCATTCTGCGTTGTCAATGGTCTGTCCCTTTTGAAAAACGTTCTTTCGTCTCTCATTTTAATCTAGAGAGAGAGAGAGAGAGAGATAGAGAAAGAAACCGATGTCCTCAGAGTGATAGTAACAATGATATTCAACCTAAAATGCTACGAAGCAATATATATATATATATATATATATATAGCAAGGACAGGGCATTGACAACGCAATGTATCTACAAGCACTACATTATCCAGGTAAATATTCCAAAAGTGCATAAAAAACATAAAAATGTTTTTTTTTTTTTTCATTTTTATTTTAATGTGATATTGAAATTGGTATTATCTATAACAAAAACAAAAGCTATTGATGTCCTGTTTTATACACTTAGCAATGAATTCCAAAATAATATATACCGTGTTTACTCGAGTAATAGCCGCACTATTTATGAACAAGGCCCTTGCGTCTGCTTTCCCGCAGAACACATATAGAGTCAATCATCGCTGTTGGACGAAGCACAGGGTGGCGCGAACTATTTAAAAAGAGTACAGAAAATTCGATGGAGCCTTATATGTTGGAATGAGTTGACAAAAGCATGCCGGTTCCTACAAGTGCGCCAGTCGCAGAACATATTTATCCGCTGTCTGAGCACAGATTGTATTTCTTGGTAGAAATATTTCAGTAGCCTCATCATTTTCAGAACTCTCTCTCTATATACCTCATTGATTAAAGCTTGCTGTGCAGCGAAGTAAGCGCTGCGGTGTTACATATTAGAGTGAATTATTGATTTTATTCCAACACGAAATCATTGCACGTATGCGTGCCCGAGAATGTCAATAGCCAGCCATTGCAATTCATTGGCTGGATATTCCTCATCCTGCGGGGTATACGGTCCAGAGCTGAGGTCTCGCGGACTTAGCCGTTTCTGTTTGGCATTTGAACGATGAGGACTGTCTGGTCTTCACCTTCGGTGTGCTGCGCACCACAACGTTTGAGTCAATAGCCAACAGCAGACAATTTCGCCTCACGTGCCGCGCCTGTCAGTGCGGTACGCGGGGTCATTTCACCCCAAAAGGCCGATCGAGAGGTCTCCCTGCGGCTGGGTATGGAATGAAGACGCGTGCTTGCGGTAATCCTCATTTTCTTACGGGCCATGACCCCGTGGGGCGCACGTGTCTACGCTTCACTAAGACCGGGCGATTCTCATTACAGCTATTCCACATAAACAAATCAGGAGCATACGTTAAGAGCTTCTGCAGCGGGCGGTCTTCAGGGGTCTCTAATTGCCGTTCGGAACTTGACTTTTGACCCATGGCGCGTGGGATGGACGGATCTTAAAGCAAACAGGAATCTGGTTTAGACATTTACGTCGGTCACGTTCACAGCAACCAAAACGGCAGCAATGACACGGGCACCGGAACAACTGCGACTCACTCTTGCTTCACGAAACTATTTTTTGTATTGCTCGCGGCGAACACTTGTCCAGGCGACTATGCCGTTTCTGTCGCTTCTGTATTGCTTCAGACATCAGCAAAAAACGGTATTCCAACGACAAAGTCACCGTGACATTTACGTATTCGCCGTACACCACGTGACAAGCAATGCAAAAAGAAGCTTCGTCAAGCCGTGAGTGACGCTTGTACCGATATCCCTGTCGTTGCTGTTTTGGCTCTTGTGGACGGCACCGACGCAACTGTGTGAACCATGGTGGAAGAAGAAAGATGAGTCTGGAACGGCACCGCTTCACCATGAAATAAGTGCGTCGAAAGGTCGCTCGGATTCCTGGCAAACATCGTGAGATGGCACAGCACGTCAGGGACTCGAGGAACCGTCCTTATTTGCGCACTCGTTTTGAAGGTCGCGCAGCGCGCGACCGCACTTTCGCGATGGCCCCTGAACCAACAATGCCCTGCCGTGAGATGCGTGAAGCCCGAGCAGAACTTTCGCCTTCTTGGCCTGCCTTTTCAGACAAATCTCTCTTCTTATACCGGGTAGTGAATCAGCCTTCATTCCCAAACTGTCTAAACCAGGCATTATTGGCTACGAGATATTTCGGTAGCTCCCTCTTATAATACCTATATGTGACGTCAAAATTAGGATCATCAGTGACCAGCAACAATTACGATGGTGTGTTTAAAGAGCACAGTGGAAGCTCGTAGTCGTTGCCTCCTTAAACCAACACTGCCAAAGTTGACAGTCCGGTCTTCTTCCCATTAATGAACGTCCATCATACTCAAGAGTGAGCGTTGGCCAGTCTACGAAGGTTGACCACAGCGACGCTTTTGGTCGCGCACGTCACCAATGCTTCACACTGAGAGCGAGCAAAGCATAAGGGGAGTTTGTGCTTTGAATGTGCATTTCATGCATGCACACGCGCTCGGGCAATAACAGCGTCGTTGGAGGCCGTACGACTTTCTCTAGGTGGCGCGAATCACCGCCCGGTATAACAGTTCAGCAAAATGCATGCATCCACCCTTCCATGGGAAACGCATACGGTCTCATATCACCAATATCACTGTCTGTAGGCACTCTGCAGCGGGCGAAATAGAATGAGCCGAAATCGCTGCGATCACATGAATCGTGTGTACATTTCCTGTGCACAAGTACAGACGTCAGCACGGCGACTGATAGGCTTCGTCTCGCTGTGTGCGAGTGGCACTCTTCTAGAGTCAGAGACGGCTGGGCAGGGCTTAGCGAACTCCGGGAACCCCTCCGCAGATTGCGGCATTAGAACGACGCAAGATAATAAAACGCGCCTTTTGAAAACTGTCAGGGACTAGCTGATATCATTCTACAGAGCATGGGAGTGCCAATCAATGCGATCTATGGAAGGAACCGCGCGAATGATAAGGATGCATCCTCATTCCGAAGGTAAGCCCCGCGCTCGTGCATTGGACAACGACCGCCCACGTGCCCGTCGCACGTACGAACCCATTTCGACGCTCAGAATGATCAGTACTTCGCCAACTCTTGCATTCCCAGGACTGGCTGCACGCAGACTGCAGCGCGATGCACTCGGAACGCAAATCCCTCAAGGTTTTAACCCGATTCTCGTGATGTGAAGGCAAGCGGTGTTGTGCTCCAGTGGTCATGCAGTCCCCGTGGCCTCAGGCTCCCAATACTACGCGTCACCAGCGAACCTGAATAACGCTAGCCTTCCTCGCTTTCTAAACCAACGAAGGAGAGACTGATTATTTATGCGACGAGTGCACTGCTGTGCAATCTGCGAGCAACCAGTCCCGAGAGTGCAGGCAGGGCCCCTCCAAAAACAACCGCAACGGTGGCTTCTCCGCGTGCTCCGCTGGGACGTGTCTGCGCGGAAAGTTTCGAAAGTGCGCACGTGCCCATTGTATGGCGGGTTTACGAAGAGAGTGAATAGGGAGTTGTAGTAGATCGGTTATCTCCTCCGGTACGGTGTCCGTGAAGAAAACGCCGCAGCTGCGCATGCGCGCCGCCAGCCTTGTCTGCATAGTTCAAGGTCTTGTGGCCGATTACGGAGTGCTATGCGGGTGCTTAGCGGGCTGCGGAAACGGTCTACTAAAACTCCCTAATGTCCGCGTCTTCGCCATACCCAGCCACTGAACACAGCGCCCCACTCGCCCGATTAGTGCTGCCCCCGACCCGCGCGTATACGTCCGAGATCCACGCGGGAAGACGGTCGACTCCTCAGGTCCCAGAAGATCGACAATCTTCCGCTTTGTGGAAATGGCGTGTTCGCGTCGTCACGTAGCGGGGTGCAGCGCCGCGTGGTACAGGTGCGCGACGTCCGTTTTCCCTTCCATCCGTTCCGCCGTGGAAGGCCCCGGAAGCAAAATGAAGAGGCGCGCCACCGAGCCATCACTCACCAGGCCCCGCATGGCGGCTGGTCCGGGGTTCAAACCGGGAACTCGAAGCGGGCGTGGTTCCAACGCTCGAAGAATCGACGCTGGCCGATCGGGACGCTTGGGTCTCGTGGAATTGGAACACGCAGTCGGCGGGTCGGGGAAACCTGGACAGGTCAGGGCTCGCACACGCTGGTGTCGCCAGACATGAGGCGAATGGCCCCTCCGAGTGCGGGAGGCTTTTATAGCGGGAGGGGGGGGGGGGGGGGGGGGGGGGGGCGGCGTCCGCTCCTCCGGCCGGGAACTGACCTAGAGAAAACTGTGAGAAAGGGAAAGAGTTGCCCGGCGCCGAAATAGACGCCGCATCGCGCTGGGCCGCCGTCACTAGATCGCCCATCCTTGTTTGTTTCTCCCACCGCGCGCGTGTTGGCTCCACTGCTGGGGGGCACCGACGGGATGGAAGGCTGCGCATGCGCCGACGTCTTGAGGACGGCTAGGGACTCCCCGGCCCTGCTGGGACGTCGTGTTTTTCCTCGGAGTCGATAATGATGCCCCCCTGGAATACGAAACACTCTGGAGGAAGCGCCCAAGAGCTGGCTCGGAATCGCTGGGAAGAGGAAACCAGTTTATGGATGGATGCCGATAAATGGATCCCTTGGCATCTGGTTGCGCTCGTGCCTGCCGATTCGGGCTCGGTTTGCTTTGGTCATGATTCTGGCTCGCTCGCTCGCTCTCTCTCCCGGCCTTATGGCGTGGCTTCTAGGAAGTGAGACCTGGCCGATTAACGATCCCTAACGAGGCGAATGTCGCCGAGATGGCCCTAGCAGTTACTCTGGTCACGCTGGGTCCCCGCTAACTGTAGTCCCGATCTGCAGCGACGCCCTGGCCAAATTGGTGCTCGAACGATGCCTTCTTCTCTTCGCTCTCTCGGAGCCAATTCTTCGCCACTGACATCATTTCGACTAATGCTCCTGCCCTGATTAGCGAATGGCCGACGTTACGTCACTGTGAATCGTAGAGGTTCACATACTCAGCGGAGAGTGAACGAATAAGCATGAAAGCGTTCGCGTAATGTTGAATCAGGATGATACCAAAAAAAATTATATATATATATATATATATATATATATATATATATCAAGGAAGAGTTTTTGGTTATATGTGCGTCGAAAGAAAACACCGCAACGTGTATCCGACTACTGAACAGTCCTCATACGCTACCTTATTTTCTTACGGTGGCGACAGTGGGTCCCTTGTCTCTGAACTTTTCTTTTGGCTGCTGTTGTTGTCGTTGTTTTAGAGGTGCATGAACAGATGGCTCTCGGCGCGTGGGGTCTTAAAAGAAAAAGGGAGCGAAAGTTGGGCTTCCTCGCAGTATGGAAGATTGCTTTGGTGAAAAATGCTTCTTTAAACGTTCGCACTTGTGTTCCGGCTTGGGGCTGGAACGCACGCGCGAAAAAAACCAACTGAATATCGACGGAAATTGAAACGTGCAAAATCGTTCCACAATATGTTTGAAAAAATAAAAAATAAATAAACGAGGGTCATATTGCACATAAATTGCAAATCTGGCACTGTTAGAAAAAAAGGATGTCTGATTTACGTTTTATGGGTAAGCACCCAGGGTGTGTTAGTTTTTGTTTTTTTCTTCGAAAAATGGTGTGGAATTGTTTTTCCATGTTCCGAATTTTGTACGATCTTCGACAGAATTTTTCTGCGTGTGTTCTAGCCTTAATTATGCGGAGATTAGCTCTATAGCATCGCGCACCTGACACCTTCGCTTTAGGGCCCACAAAGTTCCGTCTATGAAGGGACGTAACGCTCTGAGTCTGCGACATCTAAATAAAGTCAAGGCCATGGAAGTCAAATAGGTTTTGCGCGATACCCACGCTACAGATGCAGCGAAACGCGCGAATAGACGGAGACTAAACATTTCGCATTGAACACGGCCGAACTGGCATCGACATCGTGAGTAGCTGCCGACTATAGAGTTATTATATTGCACGCCCATATCCTCCTCTATACTGACAGCACATACAGGAGGCTATGGTACGCCGGAGGTTCAACTGGCGCTAGTGTGCTGCTGCAAATTGAAGCAGACAGCAACCAGTGCATTTCTGTGGCGGAAAGTGAGTGCATTTTCTCGCTGCACTCGATTATAAGAGCAAGTATCACGAATAATTCATACATAGGCAGCTTGGAATATTTCTGAGTTACGCAGACTAAATGATTGGTCAGCTACAGCGTTTTTCTTTCAAATTCATGGTATTACACGCAGTTCTAAAACGGCTTCATACATGCATTTACGTGCACTGTCGGACACTGTTAGGGCGAACACGGCATCGGTGCTTTCCAGCATGGAGGATATACGTGCCAAACGAACGAAGGACATGTGGAAAACCAAGACAGCCGGCAAAAACCACGCAGTAACACGGGATCAGTAACTCCCTGTGCATGTAGACTATCGAAATAAATTGAAGGCCACGTAATACAGTCCGACTTGCAATAAATAAGTACTGCTTTATTCTTTCTGCTCATGAATACGTGCTGTGATGCTTGTTCAGAACATCACCCCATGCTCGAAATCTCTGATAGGCCAAAAAACAAGTGCCCGATAAAAGCTGCCCGGCACAGGAAATAATAAAAAGGAACACCTTTCACAAACCACGTATTTCACTCTTTATGTTTCAAATCGGCTAGATGCAACGCCGCAAGACCATCAAAAGTGCCATATTCATGCCTCCACCGGTACGCGTCTCTTATATCTGCGTGGTAGCGTCAGAAAATCGGGCGTCCCCACCAGAGACGCATATCATTAGAGAGAGTTTGGCCATTCATTGGGAAGTATAGGAGGCAAATGAGGAGACGCCATTGGCCGAAAGCAGACCGGGCGTGTTCCAGGGTGTCTTCACAAATTCGAATGTGGCACACGAGAAGCCGGAAATAATACCCTGGCGGTGATCGCGAGAAACGAAATTAATAAGTGCGTTGGAGTAATTCTCAGTGACTGAAAATGCGGTGCACATGATGCTTCAATCATTGTCATCCAAAATTGTGGTGGCAGAGTGCGACTAGCCCGGAACGATCGTCATAATCTGTACGCCAGGTGCCGACGGTCAGGAATCTGCCGTCCCAGCGATCACGCTCCGTCCGAGCACATATTCGTTTCTTACCTCTTTTTGCATTATCATAATCGAACCATCACGTGCACCATACTTTCAATCATGCAGAGTTACTACCTTTAAACCTTACGCTCTTATTAAAACTGTTTCTCGCTACCACCGTTAGGGGATTCTTTTCGGCTTCTGGTTGGCCAAGAGAGCATGCCAAGCCTTCTATCTGCGTCTGGTGAACGCCCTGGCTCTGGCAACGCTCTGGCCGCTGCTCCCATTGACGGCTCTAATCCCCACACGTTCTTTTTTTATTTATTTTTTTTTTTTTAATTTTGGAACGCGTGAAACGGCGTTTCTTGGCTCACGCTCTCAGCGTCTTAGCTTTGACCTGTCCTTCGACGGCGTTTCGCACTGTTTTTCTTTTTTTTTATATTATTTCTTGGTATTTTCCTCGCGATCTCGAATTCCGCACCAGAACAGGCACGCTGATATAAATGTGTGGCCCTGCTTCAGAATTAAAGAGCAAGTGTGTGTCGTCGTTATAATAATGGCCGATACCTTTAGCAGAAAACAAAACTGTATTTACACTGATAAAATAAACGTATAAATATGTACAGTTGAAGATTCTCAATCAGTTCATGGCGTTCGTCTCGTTTGATCTGTCCTGTTCGATCCGATTGCCTGCCTTCCGCTGGCGTTCTGCTCGTTCCGTTCACTGTCTGACATTCAGCTGGCGTTCCGTTCGTTCCGTTCACTGTTTGGCGTTCAGCTGGCGTTCCGTTCGCTGATCACTCTGGCGTTCCGCCCGTTCCGTTCGCGATCAGTCATGGTGTTCTGCCCGTTCAGCATTACTGTCTGTCCTCGGTCTTCTTCTTTTTCGCTTGCTTTTCGCGTCACCGAGATTTCTTTTTCTCGTCTTCTACAGTTTCTACCTGTTCGAACACAGTCACGCGCTCTCAGCCAAAAGCTGAACAGGTTTCACTCGTGAAGGCCGCAATCGCGGGTGTCACGGGTGAAGTGTAAATGAATGTTGTTTTAGTTGCTTTGCCCGCCGTATATAGTTCGCTTAATTTGTAACAGGCCCTTTGAGACACTCAAGTTCGTACTACATAAACGAAGTCCCAACGAGTCCCTTTTCGTAACGTCTACTGGGCAACGATGCTGATCTCCTACCAGTATATAACGTCACTTTCCTTCTTTGCTCCTCCACTGCGCTCTGCCAATGCGCCGAGAAAGGGAGGGAGAAGAGACACGAGAGTCGACGTCGGAACGCCGAGCTCTGATTGGCAGGATTAGGGGGTAGACCTAAAGCTAGCAGCCTTTGTTCCCACTGCACTCGTCCAACGCGTTAGAATTAACACAGAACGCCGGTGTCCGGCGTTCGGCTCTCGCATTCGAACGCGTTTGACAAGTGCAGTGGAGACAAAGACCGCTAGCTTTAGGTCTACCCCCTAATCCTGCCAATCAGAGCACGGCGTTCCAACGTCCCCTCTCGTCTCCTCCTCTCCCTCGGTGTCTTGGTGCATAGCTCGGCGTGCGACAGATGGCAGAGCGACGGCGCAATTTTAGTCAGTGATTGCGTCGCTCAGGAAAAATAAACTCGAAAAACAAACCTGACACACACGAGTTATAATGTGCCTATTTCCAAACTCTAGCAGCTTTTCGAATTCGATAGCATCTTCAACGTCCCGTCCCCATAATGATTCAGGCTGCTTCTTCTAAATGAACATTCACGGGAAAGGTGACCCATTTCGAGGATCGCTTCTTTGGCCTTCATTGGTATACACTGTCAGAGAAGGATATTTTGTTGAGAAATACCGCGCGCCCAGTTTTCACCACCGCAAAACAAAACAGATTCGCGGGTGTCGATATGCGTCTTTCTCAAGGTGAGGGCGGCCTTTTTTGTTGAGGGGGGGTGCTGTTTATACAGCCGGAACTTAAGGGCGGTTCAGACACTTGCGTTTGAGTGCGTTTGACTGCGTTGCGGCGAGAACCGAAAGCGAGTCACCGGCACATCTGTGCTTCGTACGAAGCGTGGAATCCAATTCAAGGAAGCATCTTGGCAGGCGATTTAAGCAGCA